CAAATCCAATCCTTTCAGGAGAGGGTCGCAGCAAGCGGGTTAAAATTGATCTTAACCCGCTGGAGCATGGCGGCGGATTAGAATCGATTTGAAGCCTCCAGGCACTAGGGCCGGATTTAAATCGATTTTAAGCGACGGACGAAAGACCGGATTCAAATCGATTTCAATCCGGATGTAGTGCCTGGAGACTTAAAATCGATTTGAATCCAGCCCATGCAGTTGGGTAGTGTGGATCGGCTTAACGTCGATTTTAAGCCTCCCCACATTGCACACGACCACCTTGGAGTAGAATCGATGTAAATCGGTTGTCTTGGTCGTCTTCGACAAGCAAAACCTTCGGATTACAATTGATTTAAATCCGGAGTTAAAATCGAATTCCAGCCATAATGTCTATTTCATTTGATGTCCGTATGCATTCATTCATATCGCCGTTCATCCCTTCCCTCATGCATTGATTCATTCATTCACTCATTCATTCATTCATTCATTCATCCATTCATTCATTCATTCATTCATTCGTTCATTCGTTCATTCGTTCATTCGTTCATTCGTTCATTCGTTCATTCGTTCATTCGTTCATTCGTTCATTCGTTCATTCGATCATTCGTTCGTTCGTTCAATCGTTCATTCGCTCATTCGTTCATTCGTTCATTCGTTCATTCGTTCATTCGTTCATTCGTTCATTCGTTCATTCGTTCATTCGTTCATTCATTCATTCATTCGTTCGTTCATTCGTTCATTCGTTCATTCGTTCATTCGTTCATTTGTTCATTCGTTCATTCGTTCATTCGTTCATTCGTTCATTCCTTCATTCCTTCATTCCTTCATTCATTCATTCATTCATGCTTTCATTCATGCTTGCACTCATTCAAACATTCACTCGTTCACCCATTCACTCTTTCACGCATTCGCTGATTCAGTCATTCACTCATCCCTCCAAACCTTGAAGCAATCAATCAGTCAGTCAACCGTCCATCCATGCATTCGTTCGTCTAATCATTACATCTTCATCATTTCACTCCATTCATTCAATCATTCATTCATATCTTCATTCCTTCATTCATCCACCAATCCACGCATGCATGCATGCATGCCTTCACATTCAGATATAGATATAGACAATGTGGATGTAGATGTATATGTAGATGTAGAGCTAAATTGTACATGTAGATATAGATGTAGGTATGGGTATTGATATCGATATAGATGAAGATACAGAAACAGATATAAATATTGTGCAAATATATAGATGCATGTGTTTAAAATGGACATATCTGTATCTAAGTATAAAGAGGGAAAGAGCGACAGACAGGTAAGAGAAGAGAAGAAAAGAGAAGATAAGAAGGATAACAAAAGAGAAGAGAAGAGAGAAGAGAAGAGAAGAGAACCGAACGGGACAGAAGAGAACAGAAGAGAAGACGAGAGAGAAGAGAAGAGAAGATAAGACAGGGTTAAGTTTAGGTTCAGGCTTAGGTTCAGGTCGAAGTCTACGTCAGGTTAAATAGACAGACAAACTACATAATATTATATACCTAATAAGCAAGCGTGTGCTTGTCACGTGCGCGGAGCCTGCCGGCTTCCACTGCTCCCACTCGCGGCGCCGGCGTCGGCCACGGTGGTATGGCATCGTCTCAAGGCGCTCTGTTTGCTACCGGTGAGAGGCTGAGACCATCACTTTCCTTTGAGCAACACCGTGCAGCTGAATTTGCACAAAGAGTGTTTGTGGTAGATATTGGCCTTTATTGGCCTTTATTAGTCTTTTTCGGGTGTAACTTCTGGATCCTCCTGAGGCATGTGCGAGCTTCTTGTTCTCCACAATGCCCAAGAAGTCTAAGCCAGCCGAGTGGGACGAGGCCTTTCCAGATCATTGCTTCTTGTAAAAAAAATTTTCGGACGGCGCTTGGCGGCTCGACCTCAGAGCCTCCGGTGCCGGCTTCGGAAGCCGTGGAGCCTTCCAGACTCACCAATTTCAAGCGCAGATCGCTCAACATCGACCTGCCTGTTTCGTCACCCGCTGACATGTCCTGGCCGATGTAGGTTCCAACGCCCGCCCATGATACTGTCCATGCCCGAAACAAACAGGCCAGTCGGTCAAAGAACTGAGGAACATGAACACTGTCCGATCGACCTGTCTTGCTTTCAGACAAGCAGTCTCAAGAAGAAGACCTCCCGGCCGCACCCATGTTGTCCGAGACTTCACCGTCAATGTCCGGCGGCTCCTAGTCAAAAGCTTCTATCGTGCGACACACACGCCAGGGAATCGCCGTGATGCCTTGTCCATTTCTGCGCGGCAGGCTTGGGAGAAGTCGCCGCACATTCCTTTCTAAACGGCACACGCACAAGGATCTTCACAGAGAAATTTGCACGTGCACCGGAAGACGCTATTTGGTCACCAGAAAAGCGGTGCACGAACGGAAAAATTGTGCACTGACGCGGTGGATTCGCCTGCCGACAGATTCGCGGACAGGGGCCGCCAAATTCAGCCGGACCCGAGAACCAGACACTTTTTACACTGGACGGCAGCCAACCTAAATACCGTAGACACCACAAGAAATAGCGAAGTCTGTACGAAACTCCCATACCCTTAGACAAGCCACTAAACCCAAAATCCTAATCCCAGAACGCTAACAGAGATAGTGAATGCTGAAAACTGCGGCGAAGTGAACGCTGAAAACTACGACGATGATGGTGATGAGGATGACGATGACGACGAGGATGACGATGCGCGATGGTGAAGGTGATGGTGACGGTGATGATCATGATGATGATGATGATGATGACATTTCTGCATCATATTACTGCCCACTGTAATCAACACGATATAAGAGGCACCGATGACCGAACCAAATTGGGAAAAAAATCCAGCTGGAGTCGGTGAGGTCGTGAAACCAGCAGGGCAGGAGAGTCGAGAAAAATGGAGGGCCAGCAGATGTCGGCATTCTGCTCGCTCTGTTTCCTCACTGCACGACTTCCATCAAGCGGGCCAGGGCTCGAAAATAATGATCCTGGTTCGGGAAACAGTGCCCTAGGCTCTAAATATCTCATTATTTCGATGTCGACCCCACTTCGGTCCTTGCTCCCGTCCTTCCTTCCTTGCTTGATACACTTGGCGTTTAACATGTCCTTCGTTTTCTCCCTTTTCCGCTCACCACCTTCCTTATGCCCTCCCCCTGGTTCATTCCATATTCCGTCATTCCATCTTTCTTGTCGTTCTTCTTGGGAGCGAAAAAAGCCCGGAAAACTACAAAAAAAACACACAAATAAATGAATCCCCAACAGAGCACGCATCCGAAACCAAACAAATCTCGACAAAAGCCTGGCGAAAGATCAGAAAAGTCAGTGTCCGCGGGATCTAGAGAAGCGGGTGATGGAACGCCAAGTGCTTTGTAGTCTCCAGCACAAGTAGAAATCACGCAGGCAGAACTGGGCTGTATGAAGACACTTGACACAGGCGAGAGATTCCCGACCGGCTAAGCGCTTGGCCTCGAAAAAGCTTCGGAGCTACTTGTGGCCCCAGTGACATCAGCATAGAGGTTGCCTTCAACGAACACAGAAGTAAATGGTCCAACAGGACAAGCAAAAAAGCATGAAGCCGCCTCCATCTGAACATAGGTGAAGATGCGGCATCCATCCTCCCATACAGAATGCTGCGACTGTTTTTGAAGCTTCCAGTGATCCCGCCTCCTGACTTCGAACGACATGCCCCACTACGGCTCTCCGTAGGCGGAAGTGTTGCAACCTCCCGTGCAGCGCGTCAGGAGAAAGAGTCTCCAGAAATGTGGCGAACGGGTCGCTGGCTGACTTTGTGGCCTCTCTGCCCATGGGCGAGCGCCGTCTGTCGCAGGTGCCTGCTCCACCTGACCAAAGACTCCAGGCATGGGCTGTTGAACTTGACACTGCACTGGGCATCAGGCATCTCGCGAGATCCATGCTGAGTAGGCGGTGCCACAAGGGCTCAGTCTCCGTCGGCGATGCAACATGCAGCAAGAAGGCAGTGCTCCCAACCTGACCACACATCTCTTTGCATGAATACTTAAATCCAACTTTGACTCATGAGCCAATCTCAAGCAGAGTCACTTCGCATCTGCCCGGAAGTAAACAATGTCGCTGTTACACTGGCCATAGGCCTGCTGGACACAGGTCAAGAACTGCCCGAACTCTGCCAGGGGGTCCTACTAACTGAAGCGCACCTCGTCCGCCGGATCTTCAAGCGTCTCCACCGAGGGGTCCCACTTCTTCCTAGCACGCTCTTCTACAGCTTTCCTCAACCATCTGGCATGCGAACTCTGCAAACCATGCAATGGCTTGCCCGTCCTAGAAGAGTCGTCGTGCAAGAACTTGCTGGCGATTGCTGGTGAGATGCCTATGCTAGGAAAGGGGCTACCACATCCTCCTATTGGATCGCCAATGCCTCTATGCCTTTGCCTTTGAGCATGTGAGCAGTGCAAAGCAAAGAACACAGCGGCCGGAAATGCAGTCGAAGATGCCGGGAAGAACCAGAAAACTTCTCAGCAAGAACATGCCGGAGGCTGCGGCACCTCAGAAAGCCACCAATCGTGCAAAAGTGTCAGCGTCTCCGAGACTTTGATGTCCAGTAAGCTGAAGCCTTGTGTGTTCCCTCCCATGGCATCAAAGACTTCAGACCCAAACAGGCTGGCCTGGCATGTCACGCCAGTACTCCACACTGAGCTCGGGCGATCCAATGGGAATCCATCCTTGCTGCGCGTTTGTTCATGCGCAAGACTGACATGGGCCACATGCCAAAAGCCTCTGCCTGCAGTATCAGAACTGTGTGGCTCTGCTTCGAGCTGCACAAGCGAAAGCACCTCCTGTGGAAAACTCGTGTAATTCAAACCATGTTCGTTTGTTGAACGCTCCTCAACCCTAAACGGCTCCTCTTCTGTGATTGGCCCGGTTGCACACACCAAGTTCCTGGTCACCAGGCAACATCCCGCTTTGTCAATTTTGCAGCAAATTATCGCCGACCTCGGCATCAACATGTTCGTGGACTTGGCGCAGCACGTCCTTCAGGCCACGAAATTCTCAAATGTATATGCAACTGCTTCCTGCTGCCTTGCTGCAGCAACGGAGTGCGAGAAGCACTGCAACGAATATGCAAAAAGCTGGTGGGGTCGGCAAAAAACATCTAGTCACACCGAATGCCATTATAACCCAAAGTTGAGCACTTGCGGAACGCTTGAAAGCCGGAAGAAGCCCTGCTCTCAAGGCCTGCAGATGACCAGATGCAGGAGCCATCACCATGCTGCGAGATGATCTACACACGCTGATAAACACACTGACATCTGTGGTCACTGGGCTGATGTCCGCTTCATAACGCAATCAGCGGTCCGCCGCTTGCACCCATCTTGTTGCTCCGAGAATGCGCGAACTGGTGCTTTGTCTTTCTACGGCTTCGACAACAGCTCGGGATCGAGCATTTGCATCTTCTCCTGTGCTTGTGCAGCCACTGCATACAACATACAACTACTCTTTTCGAAACACAGACCTGGGTGTGGTTGATACAAACAGAAGGCAAAGCGCGAAAAACACACGGCTTGTGCTGTTTCATCCCATTGGCAGAACTGCTTTGTTTTGGAGCGATGCGGCATCGGTGCGGCTGTTGTCACTCGGTCCGGTGTAAAACGAGCAAAAAGGGAAAAACGGTACAGAAAACTCCGATGCGTGAGGCGATCAGAAGCTTTTAAACTTCTTCATGTACGGCAAAAAAAATTCACGGGAGTGCAGGCAAGACGTAGGTAGAGCTTTTCATGCAAAACATTCATTGTCTGTCGTCAATTCAACATTGATGGAAAGTACAAACAGACCTGACCTCGGACTTACCTTGTGGCAAACAACTAAACCAGGCTCTGAAGCTCCATGGCGGGTGTGGAGCCTGAGCTACAGACCTGTGCTTTTTACGTACCGTGCAAGTTCTTGCAAAAACAAACTCACTGCAGAAAACTTGAAGCCTGGCATAATTGCACGTCCTGTCCTATTTCAAACCAACTTACCAGCTTCAAAAGCTCATCAGACGGACAGATGCCCGACATTCTGTGCAACAAGGAGCTTTCAAAGGGCGTGTAAAGTTCAACTCTCTTCAGGATCTTGGTGGAACCTAACCGTCAGTCCAGCAAAGAATTCAAGCCGCAGTTCTTGTTGGGAAAAACACAATCTTGTGGAAGCAGCTTCTGAAGGAGACGCAGTTTCTTGACCCGGACCTCATCGACAGTTCATTAAAAACTTTGGTTGCAAATCCAGGAGGCAGACAAAGAGGTTTCTTCTTAGCTACAGCTCGGAAGGTTCTGAAGTTCACGCCAACTAATCCACCTTATGCCAAAAAACTTGAGATTCTGTCCACACAGCACTTTTCCTTGCTCAGTTTTCATTTTTTTCGGGCGTAGGCGGGCCTTGTCGACTTCGGCTGTAGCACTCAGTCCCAGTAAGAAGTGAATCAAAACAAGAAGATAATGAACTGCACAGAAGCATCCTAATGGGTGAAACAGGTCGCGACTTGCAGACTTAGCCAGTAGGGATCGTTCGACCTTCTTGATGTACCGTCTCTCAGTTGGTCTTCTCCGGAGCGGCAACCAGCTGCACAGAAGCATGAGCATCCCGGAAAGCAGCGAGGAAGAGCGCACTGCTGTCATATGCCCTTTGATGTGAAGCAACCATCATTGACAATGTCCAGGCAAAGAGGAGAGCCAAGCGCACCTGCTCCGACCAAGGCGTCGTACCAGTTTGAGGCGCACAGGCAGACCAGCTGTATCATAACGGCAGGCCAACTAGACCCAGCATCCCAAGGGTGGACATCACAAGGGCCAATTGAGGATTGCGCAAAAGTCCAGCCCATTCCCACTTGGGTATCGCAAGGGCGCCGCACAAGAGCACATGACATCAAATGCCGTTGAATCAAGGTGCCACTATCCGCCCATGCATGGTTTCCCAGTGGAGACATTGCAAACCGTGATGGAACACATCGGCACCAAGACAGGTGTTGCACAATTACGACGAGAGATTAAGCTTGGAGGGAAGCCTTACCGGAGTCGAGCGGAAATTGTAGAACGGCACTGCCCACCTGGGTATCGCAAGGGCGATCGCAAGGGCGCCGCATCGCCACCAGGTCCAGCGTCCGATGGTGGTGTGGACACCCTGATGCTTGCTGCAACAGGCCGGCCTCGTCAGGCAGACACCAGTGCCCAGCCTAGAAGTCGACATTGCAGAACGACGTCGACAGGCAGACCGGACCTTCTTAACATCCCAGCTTCGGAATCTCCAGTAGCAGTGTTGCATTCGCGGTAGCGCGTTCCCGCATCGTGCGCGACCCTACCGCCTGGCAAAGCACACGTGGATGCCTGTGAGGGATTTTTTTGGCTTGACTGGGCCTCGTCGACTACGGCTGTCGCACTCGGTCCCTACAAACAAGCAGACGACAAACTAACTAAACTACAACAAAGCGGTGAAACAGAGAAGCTCTACGAATGGGCTGCGGCGCACGGGCTTTACCTGTGTTGGCCGTTCAGCGCTAACTACGGAGCTTCAGCGACCGGTCCGGAGCAACAAAGAGCCGTCGCTCTGTGCCGCCCAAAACAACAGGTGGAGCCAAGACCAAGCTCCGGCAGCCGTTCTAGTCTCGCCAGACAACGGACAGCCCCTGTGTCTTGTTCCGTCACGATCGTGCACACCAAAATCCAAAAGTCCAATGCTCCCTGCGGTGAGCGGCTTCCAGACCTGATGCGGTGGCCAGAGTCGTGCAACTCAAAGCCGGCCAGATGCGAACGCACACCGAAGGACGAAACCGAACGATCCTCGGTGTGCAAAACAGTGGCGTCTTGGATGCAATGACCGACGGCCACCAATCGCTGCCACAGCACGCGGCCGGGCAGGATGTAGACCGTGGGGATAACTTGTTGTGCGTCGAAACCCAGTGCAGCGCAAGCGAAGGAACGCCTTAAAGTCCCAAGAATGGGTCGCCCAAGTAGAGCGTGCACCCTGGGCCCAGGTTCCCACGCAGTGGTTGTAGCTCCCACTCAGGAGTAACAAGGAGGGAGAAGAACCTCAACGACGTATGTCGTCGGTTACAGCGGCTCCCACAAGAAAGCATTGTCGGTCAGAGACGACCCGACCAACCTTTGGGGGTCCGTCACCACCAGACGACGAAATTGCAAAGTCAACCGAATTGGAAATCAAGCTGTACCGGCTGTGTTCAGGGACAACTGTGGTGCGCCACAACAACCGAAAAGCGCAGCCAAGGCCCCCCCCTCCATCCCCCACTGCAAGGGCAAGCAGCGGCCAAAAGCAGCCATCGCGAAAGTGCACACCGTCCCAAACAAGACTCCGGCGGTCGTCGTGCCAGAACAAGAGCAGCAAAGATAATGAATTTATTTCCTATTCCACAAACACATGGACGATATCATGAATATTCCTCTTCACGTCACTCCAATATATTTCAGAGAACGAAATAAGAAATAAGATCGCAGTCACTCGCTCAGCAGCCTTCGTTTTGCTAGGATGATATTGCGCGATGCCGTGGGGTCGAAACGATCAAAGTTTGATATCTCCATCGGCCCCAAGGTCAAGCATCCAATGCAAGACACATGTGTCGATGAGATAAGTCGAGAACTTGCGCACCCGATCATACCCCGGGCGGGCGGGTGGGTAAAAAGACTTTTTCCTGCCCACTTGAGCAAGAAACCTTGCATTCGGATCGTCATTCAAATGCCCATGTTTCTCAATGCTCATGCGTGAAAGTAAAAGAGCAAATCGTGAAAAGACGGAAATCTCATGAAAATCACCATGTTCAACCTTGTCGTAACTCGACAACGGTTGTTGTGAAAAAGGAAATAAGGTGATAATCACAAGTGATGAAGTCACTTATTTCCTATTCCACAAACACATGGACGATATCATGAATATTCCTCTTCACGTCACTCCAATATATTTCAGAGAACGAAATAAGAAATAAGATCGCAGTCACTCGCTCAGCAGCCTTCGTTTTGCTAGGATGATATTGCGCGATGCCGTGGGGTCGAAACGATCAAAGTTTGATATCTCCATCGGCCCCAAGGTCAAGCATCCAATGCAAGACACATGTGTCGATGAGATAAGTCGAAAACTTGCGCACCCGATCATACCCCCAGCACCGTGCGCAAATGTAGCCGTTCCTTCAAACAAGCAGCCTCTCACCACTAGTCTGCATCTGCTGAGCGCCTTGATTCAAGAGCCTTTTGCAGCAGTCGCGGCTTGGCTCGTCCGCTGGATTCGAGTGAGTCGGGACTCGCCCGAACCATGGCCTTGCCCGCCACCTGTGTTCAGCATCCAGGAAACGTTGGACCAGCTTCCTTCCATGATCCGTGCCCGAACGGCCCGCGATGAGTGCTGACTGAGCGGCTTCATTATCAAGGTAAAAAACGGAAAAGGAATCCTCTAATAAGGGTCCCCAAAGCTCAACTGCAACCAATGCGGCATACAGTTCAACCTCATATATCGGATGATCAGAAGTTTCCTCAAGAGCCCGCAGATCGTCCTCGTTCACCTGTGCAGAGAAGAACGACAACGGTGTGCCAGCGCTGTCATAGAGGACGCCACCGATGCCGGCTCGCTTCTCAGCCGTGGGCTCATACGAGCCATCTGTAAAAACATACAGCTCACGCCCCGTCGTTTGCCTTAGCTCCAATGGCCTGGAATCCACCACGTAGCGGAGCAAAGTTTGAATCGCCTCTGTCAAGTCGTCAGTGAGCCTTGTGCACGAGTCCATACATTGTGCCCTCAAGGATATCTGTCTCATCGCCTCACACGGCGCACGACCGAAAAGATACGAAGTAAACCAGTGCATCCTTCCCCTCAAAACTTCCGCATCCTTAGGTCGGAGTACAGCATCACGTAAGATTCCCTCGAGAGTCTCCACCAGCTCAGCAGTACGTGCTTCCGTATGCCGAATGATGACCACCCCCTCATTGAATCTCGTCAAGTCATACTGCAATCCCAGGGCGGCAAAGGTGTA